TAAAAAGGAATGAGGGGGAACTAGAAGGAAAAGAGGAGGAAATAAGAAGGGAGAAAAGGAAATTAAAAGGAAGGAGGGAAATAAAAAAGACGAGAGGAGGAAATAAAAAGGAATGAGGGGAGGAAATAAAAAGGAAAGAGGGGGAAATAAGAAGGGAAAGAGGAAGAAATAAGAAGGAAGGAGGGGGAAATAAAAAGGAATGAGAGGGAAATAAGAAGGGAGAGAGGAGGAAATAAAAAGGAAGAAGGGGAAAATAAGAAGAGAGGAGGAAATAAGAAGGAATGAGGGGAAATAAGAAGGAAGAGAGGAGGAAATAAGAAGGAAGAAGGGGGAAATAAGAAGGAAGAAGGGGGAAATAAGAGAGGAGTAAATAAGAAGGAACACAGGAGAAGCTTTCCTTGCCAGCAGGACGCAGAGGAGTTAATCCAGCAGGTGAACCCCCGCGGGCCCAGGGCAGCCCGAGGGGCCGGGGGAGGCCCCGCTCTGCTCCGGGAGTGTCCCTGGCAGCTTCCACCATAAATCAGGCAGAGGCACGTTCCCCGCTCTGCAAACAATGCAGGAAAAGCCCAAAACACAAACAAAACACAAACCCAAAAGTCTCCACGCCGCAATAAGGCCAAGCTGCCTCGAAGCCATCATTTGCTCAGCGGGAGACAAAATTAAGTTCATCATCAGGGCGTGAATTAACAACCTCTCAGGCTGCCTGGAAATCCATCCGGGGCTCCGGCTGCTTTGCAGGGAAGAGTTCTGCTGGGGCTCTGCCTCTCTTCTTTTGCCCTCCAGGTCCCTTTGGAGCGTCCTCCAGGAACGCTGCGCCTCGTCGTGTTTTATGGGCGGCCTTGGACATTACAGACAAGGCCTGAGAGGCTGTAAAAGCTTTTTGGCTCCCAAGGAGAGGCCGGGGTGTGAGGCAGCACCGAGAGGCTTCGCTCTGAACCCCCGGCTCTCCGGCAGCTCTGCTCACACGAGGAGAAGCCGGGGCGTCCTGCAGCTGATTTGTGTGTGTGCGTGCCTGGGTGTGTTGTGGTTTGGCAACAGCCTCTCCAGGCTGCCATAAAATTTCATGATTAGCAACCTAAAAGCTTCCCCTCTCCCCCTGCTCCTGGTTCGGATCGTTGCAATGGTCCCAGGCAGGCACTAAATCCCTCCTCACGCGTTTTTCCAGCCTCTCGGAGCTGAAATGTGCTTCCACAGCCCCTGCCCTGGGCAGAGGCAGCGGGATGGGCCCTGCTGCGCTTGCCCCCAGTGCAGGTGGAGCCTTAGGGACAGCACAGGGAGCTCTGGGACTCACCCCCCACTCCAGGGTGTCACCCCAGGGCTGACCAGGGACACGGGATTCAGGACCTGCTTGCGCCAGTGCAGCTCCAGATCTGCTGAAATTCCTTCATTGCATGATATGGNCTCGGCCGCTCCCTGTCCCGGGGGTGCTGCTCCCTCACTGCCACATTCCTGTTACTGGAAGAGTCCGGCACCCCTGCCAGCTCCTTGGGCTCCACCTGACTCAGAGTTTTGGCTTTAAGGTCTGTTCCTGAGTCTCTTTCCAAGCCCTTTCCTGCTACTCCCTGAACTTTGGCAGCCCCCGGCTGTTCTCTTTGGATGGGAGCTGTAGCTGCTTCCACGGCTTTCAGGAAATTCTTCTTCTGGTGGACATCTCTTCCAGCTTTGGCTTCACGTTCTCCTCCCAAATCCTCCGCCAAGGCCTTTTTCTCCAGGTGGTTTCTGGCTGCTGGAACACGCTGGGCATCCCCGTGGAGGGGATCCCGGTTCTCCACGGGATTTTTCACAGCTCTCTCAATCTCCTGCAGCGGCACCTTCCGCTCCTTGGGAGCAGCCGCAGGAATGTCACGCTTCTGCCCAGCCTCCTCCACATTCCCCAGCACGTCCCTGTGCTGCCTGGTGGAATCGGGGGGCTGCTGGCCCAGCTGCTCCTTCCCGGCCGTGTCTCCCTTGGCTCCGAGGCCCTCGTCCTCCCTGCTCCTGGAAAGGGGCACGGCAGGCTCTGCCTGTGCTTCTGCTGCAGGACAAAACCCACATGGAAAACGTTTCTCAGGACATTCCCTTCTCCTGCCACCACATCCTGTGAGACACAAGATGGGGCCACGCAGGAGGAAGAGCAGAGCTGTGATTATCCCTTCAGAAATGGCCGTGCAAGGGGACTTTGCCACGTGCCAAAGGAGCTCAGATCTCTCCCAGTTTGATTTTAGAGCTGCTCTGAGCTGTGAGCACCCTCTGGAGGGCTCCTGCTCCCTGGCCACGTCCTTACCTGGCTTTGGCTTCTCCTCTGCCCCCTCCTCCTGCCGCTGCTGGTGGATCTCCTTGTGCTGCTCCTCGATCACTGCCAGCAGCTTTGCCTGCTGGTCCAGGAGCTGCTTGTGCTGCACCTGCTGCTCCTTGATCACCTGCAGCAGCACGTTGTGGTCCAGCAGTTTTGCTGGCCCTGCTTCTGGAAAAGGGGAAAAAGAGGAAGTAAAACCCCTGTGGCCTTCAGAAATCATGTCAGCTGTGGATGGGCTGCAAGGGCTCTCCTAGGCAGGAAGATCTGACTCCACAAACCCTGCCAGGAGAGAGAGAAGGAAGCTGGAAGAGGATGGGATGACAGAAAGTCCACAAGCACACAAGTCCAAGCTCAGGCTCCAAGCCCCAATTGTAAGTAGAGGTTGGAGGGAGGAGCTCAGCCCCAGGGACAGAGCCTGGGGCCTTGGGGGGAAGGAGCTTTTCCCTGTGATGTGTTCAGGTGTCCCCATGTGCACCTGCCCCTCCCACTGTCCTGCAGGAGCAGTTTCACTCCTGTCTCCCTCTTCCCAGGGCTCCAACACCAGGGAGCAGCCAGGCCTGGGTGCCAGCATGACTCAGGTCCCTGAGTGGCCCTGCCAGGTGTGCCAGAGATGGGACAGGCACCACCTGATGCTGTGCAGGGACTGTGGCCTCAAGACACCATCCTCCCACAGAGAAGGATCCAAGGAGATCCAAGCCCATCCCCACACACCCTGAGGACACACACTCACCCCCTGCATTCTCCTGCTTCTCCTCGGTGTTCTGCTTCTCCAGCAGCTCTGCTCTCTCTGGGAGGGGCAGCTCCTGCTTCTCACCTGCAAAGGAAAGGGCCACAGAGCTTTGCTGTCAGTGCAGATGTTCCCTAGAACGCCTCCACGCCATCCCGGCACCGCTCGCATCCAAGGCGCCGGCTGCGAGGGAAGTAATAAACCCAATATTTAACAACCCCGTGCCTGGTGGCAGCAAGCCAGCACTAACTACCTCGGCCAATTAACATGCAAGAACAGCTCTAACTGGCTTTTAGACGGGCACTTGGCAATGTGTTCCCTGTCAAGATCTCCCGGCTCCGTGTCCCCGGTGATTTGGGAGCCGTGCAGGAACAGCACGGCACCTGACATTTTGGCGGGTAGCGAACAACTGTTTGACAGCTCTTGCAGTAGCTGTCAAAGCCACCAGATTCCTCCCTTCCCGCAGCAGCTGCCGGAGGGGCTGTGCTCACTCACGTGCTCCACTCGTGGAGTTCAAAGGAAGCACCAGGATGGAGATGGGAATGACCAAATTGTCCCGACTCCAGGGGCACTACAGGCCCAGAAGAGATGGTTCAGATGAGCTGCTGTGAAAGGAGCTTACCAGGGTCTGCTTCCTTCTCCACAGGCCTTGCAGCCTCCTCTGCTTTCCTGGGGAGCTGGAGCTGTGCCTTGTCCCTCTCAGCAGCCTCGGCAGTGTCACCATCCAGCACGGCCGCCTGTGCCTTGGCTTCCAGCTTGGCTTCCCCTGGCTCCAGCTCCTTGTAGGGCGGCCTTCCCGCCTGCTGCAGCGCTGCCTCCGGGACCTTCTCCAGATTTGGGATGGGCCCACCAGTCCCTCCTCGCTGCTGGTTCTCAGCAGCCACTTCCTTGCCTTGCTTTGGGCCCAGTGCCTCCTTCTGGGGCCTCAGCTTGGCTGGCTCCTCCAGCAGACGGTCGCTGGCTCCTCCAGGAGCCGCTTTGTTCTCGCTGGATTCCTCCCGCTCCCGCCCCATGTCCACGACCACCTCATCGTGTGGGACCGGGGGCTCGTGGCGATGGGCCTCCCCCACGGGCACAGCAATCCCTGGGGACAGGCAGGGTCAGAGCAGCAGGTTCCCAGCACACCCAGCACACCCAGCACACCCAATACACCCAGCACACCCAGCACACCCAGTACACCCAGCACACCCAGCTCCATGCTGCCCTTGTCCAGCCCTGCCTTCTCTCCCTCATCTGGAGGCCACGTTCCCCACAAGCCTCCAGAGCATCAAACACTAAATCACCTTCAATCCACCAACAGCACCACGGAGGCGCACTGAGGGGAGGGTAAGGAGGAGAGGTCAGGATCTCTGTCTCAGAGTCCCACAACACACACACACCCCCAGCTCCCAGTCCCGCTCCCTTTACCTTGATCAGGACGGTCCAGCTGCACTTTCTCTTCCACCTTCCCTCTCTCCTCCTCCCTCTTGGGCACCTGCACGGGCACCTTGATCTGTGGCTGCTCCATCTCCTCCTTCTCCTCAGGCACTTTGGGTTTGTCACGGTCATCCTCGGGCTCCTCCACCACCGGGTTCTGCTCTGCAAACACAGCATGGGGACAGGGATGAGCTGTGGGAGCTGGGAATTGCTGTGTCTGTCCCAATCCCTTCACCCACCCGGCCCAGCTGCTGATTTCCCTCCAGCCTCAGCACGGTGGGGCTGGGGGAGGTTCTGCTCTGGGGGGCCCTGGTTGTTTTCCCTGTTGTGGGTTTGTATGGAGCTGCTGGAAGGGAAGAGTGGCACGGATGGAGAGGGGATGGAGCAGGGATGGAGAGGGGATGGAGCAGGGATGGAGAGGGGATGGAGCAGGGATGGAGCAGGGATGGAGCAGGGATGGATAAGGAACGGAGTGGGAATGGAGCACGGATGGAGCCGAGATGGATAAAGGATGGAGCAAGGATGGAGCAGGGATGGATAAAGGATGGAGCAGGGATGGATAAAGGATGGAGCAGGGATGGATAAGGAACGGAGCGGGAATGGAGCAGGGATGGAGCAGGGTTGGATACGGAACGGAGCGGGAATGGAGCAGGGATGGATAAGGAACGGAGCGGGAATGGAGCAGGGATGGAGCAGGGATGGATACGGAACGGAGCGGGAATGGAGCACGGGCGGAGGCGGCTGCTGCTGCGAGGCAGTGCCACCAGATGTCAGCATCCCCCCGGCTCCCTGCCCCAGACCCCGGCTCCGGGAGAGCCCGAGCTGGAATCCAGAGCCGGATCCCGCGGCACCAGAACCCGAGCTGGGCTCCAGCCCAGCTCCCACCCTCCTGCTGCTGTTTGCTGTGAAACGTCTTAAAACCTCATTTATTTTGATTTTTCTCCCCCTTTTTAGTGCCCGAGTGTTCCCACAGCCCTTCAGATGCCTCACAGAGGAGGGGTGGGGAGGTTTCCTTTTCTTAAAAGTTTTGAGGAGGGGGGCTAAACAACAGGCATTAATTAGGGGAAACTCCTGAGGGAGAAGGGGGAGTTTTCCCCCACCTTGCCCTCAAAGAGACAGAATGTTTTTGGAAGACACATCCCAGTCAAACCAGTCACTGTGTTCAGCACTGGTATGACCAGCGGATTCCACATGGAATCTTTTGCACATTCCATGGGATGGGAAGGGTCCCTTCCACCCCCAGCATGGCAGAAAACCCACACAGGGAGTGAACTCTTCCTTTGGAGAGCAGCAGAGAAGGAAATCGAATTGTTTCCCAGCACTGAAGTTGTTCTGCAGATTTTTTTCCATCCAACAAACTCTTAAAAAAAAAAAATCTATCTTCTGTAACAAAAAAAAAAAATTCCCAACTCTTTCCCCCTTCGCCCTCCCCCGTGTGATTTCCTTTGGGGAATTAATTCTATAAACATCTTTCCATTTTCTCCTCCCCCTCCGCAGGGCTGGTGCGATTTATTACGAGATGAACTCATGGGAAAGAAGGGATTGCCACAACTTCAGCTGCGTGGGCCTTGCCTGAGCTGGGGAGGGGGGGAACAACAAAAATTCACAAAAAATTAAGTACAAACTCCTGGCCCAGAGGGATCTGTGCCAGCAGGACCTTGAGCCTCTCAGAAATGCGGAGTCCAGCCCGAGCTCCACACCCAGAGCAGGGACGTGTGCGGGGCTGGCCAGATTTCCACGTTCCTTCGCTTGGGGAGTGATGGTGGGAGGGGAAAAGCACTCGGATTTTCTGAGAAATTCGAGTCCAGTACCCAAGGGTCCCCCTCTCCATTGAGGGACTTCCCAGGGTTCAGCAAGTCAGGGCAGGACGCTCCTCCTTTTCAGGAAAAGCTGGGCTGCAGGAACCGGTGCCCAGCCCTGGCCAGGGGCCCTGGGAAGCGGGAGGCCGAGGCC